GGCAACATACGTAACCTAAACATCTGTACCCCCATAATATGCTGAAATAAAAAAAAAATATATGTGATATAGTAATATATGTTGCTCTTTATTAAGGCACTAAGTAACATAATCTAGTTGTGTGTCTAATAACTATTGTGATTTTGATGTAGTAGTGATCATAAGTACTTGAGATTTCTGCAGCAACTCTACTATGCTTTTCTGTGATTTCTATTGGTCAACCTTATAGATATCAATAGTGCTACTCTGGTTGGTTTATTGCAGTCATGATTGAAAAATGCTAAATTTCAGTAGGAGGTTAGTAAAAATAAAGGTCTAAATGTTTCTGCACCCAAGATCATGGATTTCTGCATTATATAAAGACTTTACAGACCTTTCTTAGGTTGAGAACCTATGTCCAGTAGCTCTCAATTCTGGTTGCACATTAGAATCCTCTGAGAGACTTTAAAAAATGGTATTTATGGGTAGGACCTATCCTTTTCAATCATTTCTGCTGTGGATACAATAAATATATATCTATATGTGTGTATGTATGTAAGTATATGGATGTATATGTATATGTGTATATGTGTGTATATTTTGTATAAAGTTCATCAATTAATTCTGCTGCATACACAGCCAGCATTATTTATGGATTTTGACACATATCATTAAGTATTTATAAAACTCATATATCAGAACTAAGAAAATTTTGTATGTTCCAGGCACTGTGCTCTAAGGCTTTTATGTATCTGTGAAGCAGAGATTTTTCCCATTTTGCAAATGAGGAAACTGACATTTAGAGATATTGCATTAACTGTCCTGGATCATACAGCTAATAAATGAAGGCATTAGGACTGGAATCTTTTCATTACACCTTGAAGAGGTATTCTATTTGGCCCCAAGTAACCTGAGAAATTAAGAATGTATGTTATTCCAATCCTCCCTTACCCACCTGCTGAAATGGATATTCTCAAATGCAGACTTTCACAAAAGAAAACAAATTCTGATTATTTGACAAAATAAAGAAGTTCCATTATCAGCTAATCATTATTTTGTTCTTAGTCCTTGCTCAGGATATTTTATACTCCAGCTCTTATTGCTTTGCAGGGACACACACAGCTGTCTATATAGGAAACAGTGTCAGTGAGATTCAATTTGGACTTGCATTTGAGCTGAGACATGGCCTCATCTTAAATTCTGTATTCAAAAATGGGGAAGTCAAGGGATTGAGTCGGATCTAGGTATCCTACAAGCGAGGAGGATATTCATTGCTTATTCAGTGGATGTTCATTAGCCCATAGCCCCTGTACAATCTTACAGTCTCCATGAAGGCTGCCTCAGTAAAAGTGGGCTTCCTCTTCTTTAAAGTATTTATAATTAGTTCCGCCCATTAGAAATAGGGGGATTTTTGTTATTCATGCAACTTGTTTAGAAAAATAAAATTTAATAACAGATGAAACCATAATATATCTGTTGTCAGGCCAGAAATGATCAGTACAACATAGTT